TAAGACATAGTAAACAACCCAAATGCCCTTCAAGAGGATAGGACTAGAACTGTAGTTCTGTGCTTGCATTAGGTTTGCAACAGCAAAACTAGGAAAATGACCCGATGGTACATCTCTTCAATGAATACACTCACTAATAGGCAGAGGTGAAATGAGCTATGTATTGGTAAAACAGCTTGATGAGTCACAAAAGCATTATGATGAATGAAAAGCATAACAAGTGCTGTGCATTTTGTTATTCCATTTATGTGGCATTGAAAATGCAAAACTAGAAAACAGCAATGAATAGTAGTTGCCTCAGGATGGTAGAGTTGAACTATGAAGAGTTATGTGGTAAAACATCATTACATGTTTTTGTGTAATTGTGGTTACATGGGTATACATATTTACCAAAACTAAGGTGAAAAGAGCAAAGAAAAAACTGTTCCCTGAATAAGTGGAAAATAAAGACTGATGATAAACAGTTTGTAAGCCGGTGAGTTTTAATTTAGCTTAAATCAATGATGACTAACTGGAACAACATTCCAACTGCCGTATTAAAGGAATAGTGCTCAAGTATATGCTTTTTGCAAGAGACACATTGTGTATTACTAGATGAGATTCCTTTGTGTTGCTCAGGCTCCAGTGATCCTCAGCTTCCCAAGTAGCCAGGATAATAGGCATGTACCACCATATCCACTTGCACTTTAAGATAGAGGGGAGTTAAGTTCTTTAAAAATGATGGAAGGTATATCATGCTGCATGTCTGCATGAATAAAGTAAGAATGGGAAAAAGTGAAAACACCTAAAGCACAAGAGCAGAAGTAAAAGGGAAGAAAGCCTCTTAAGATTACAAGGAGAGGAAACTAGGTGTGTTATACCAAATTTCTTGGGATACTGTTTAGACAGAGAAGGGTAAAAACCATGCACAAGGTCATTATTGGAGATCAGGAAAGCTGCAAGGGAGGCAAATCAGAAATTTTGATTTTCCTGTGCTTGCTTTGGGCTTGTCTACATGATATACTTTGGATCTAAGAGTTTGGAGTGAAATGTAGACTAGACAGAAAAATGTGGAAGTGGGCAACATTACAAGATATGTTGTGAGACTGAGTGGAGTCATCAGAAGAGTAGGTATAAGTGGAAAATTTAATGTTATGAGTTATGAAGTGTCCTCCCAAGTGACTTGTGTTTGGGGCTTGTTCCCCAGCTGTAGTTTGATTTTGGGATGTTCAGGATATTTTGGGAAGAGGATGTCATCTCCTAGAGCTAGAGTTACAGGTGATTGTGAGCTGCTTGAACATGGATGCTGGGTCTTCTTCAAGAGCAAACCATGAGCTATCTCTCCAGCCCTGGAAATGATTCCTTTAAATTAAAAAGCTTCAGGCTCTCATGTATCATTTAGAAGCATGACATTCTAGTTTTTTATTTATTTCTATTTTAGTGTGTATGAGTATTGCTTGCATGCCTGTAAGTGCATCCATGTCATGTAATGCCCGTGGAGGCCAGAAGAGGACATCAGATCCCCTAGAACTGCAGTTACTGGTGGTTGTTAAACACCATGTGGGTAGTAGGAACCAAACCCTGGTCCTGTAAAGAACAGCCAGTGCTCTTTAACTGCTGAGCCATCTCTCCAGCCCCATTCTCACCTCTTAAAATGTTCTTATTGTTCACATTTAAACTTATGTTTTTCTAACATTGTTAAAATATGGATGTATGACTTAAAAAATGTAATTGAGAAATTTTAAACTATTGTAACTCCGTATAGTCAGTATAGGCTATGGAAACTAATTGCTGCATCCAACTATGGCATTATAATAAAAGAACAGCCAGTATAGGCAAGATGTATCTCCATATTTAAAAGGTTTCTGTATTTTACAGGATAATAATATCTGCAGATTTTAAAAATGCAAGTGGTAGACAGTAAGGAAGTGAGCCTGGTAGATTTTAAGGGCTTATGTTACAGCATGCTTGCTTCATATGCATAAGGCCCTGGGTTCAATTGCTAGGTTCACTAAATAACAACATGTTTTAAGTAAAATGTCATTTACTACAACCTTTAAGCCTTTCAAAACTCTTGAGGGATGACTGACAGAAGGATACTTTCTAAATTGACAGAAGGATACTTTATATTTTGTGTTCTGGCTCCAAAGTGCATAAATAGAATGGTAAGTTTCTTTATATTAGTGAGCAATGTGTTACTGGAATTAGATGTTAAAGAGTAAAATACCTTGAAGAATTCTAACCTAAGATAAAGTACTGCATCATATTTACTGATGTACATCAACTTTATAAACTTCTTTTTCCTCAGTCCTTCTTTAATATTTTATGTGTATGAGTGTATTGCCTGTATGTATGTGTGTAAGTGCACCCTTGTCATGCAGTGCCCATGGAGGCCAGAAGAGGGCATCAAATCCCCCTGGAACTGGAGTTACAGATGGTTGTTAGCTCTGCCATGAAGGTGCTGGGAATTGAACTCCAGGTCCTCTGCAAGAGGAGCCAATGCTCTTAACCACTGAGCTGTCTCTCCAGACCTGTAATTACTATGTTTTTCAACATTTCAGAGTATACTGTTTTTAAAAATTACGTACAATTTTTACTATACTTCTAAAGATAATCTTTTCAAATACATTTCTGTGTTTACCCAAGTTGGATTGTTGCACATACATTTGGGGTGTGTTTTTTTTTTCTTCATAAAACAAGGTATGACATTTTTTGCTAGTATTATGTGTGCTTTTTAACCAGTCTCATATCTGAATGCTTTATGCATTTATTTATGCTCAATTATTTATTTTATGCTAAATTTATTCCCATGCTATAAGTTTTTGTTTCTTCAGTTTCTTCTGGGTTATCTTTTTCTTTTGTGTAACCTCCTCTTTAGGCTTAGGAAAAACTCCTTTTCAGTGAGGATCATTTCTATATGGCAGGGGGAGCTCATGTATGGGTTAACCCGACCATAAGCTCTGTAAATTCTGTGGTGCATTTTGGGTGATTTGTTCACTTGGATATGCTCAGTGACCAGAGAGTCTACATCTAAACCCTTAAGGTTCAGCACTATTCCCTGCATTTTTAAGCATGTGCAACAAAAATTCAGCACTCCTTTTGGGCCACCGACCTTGTGTCCAGCCTCACTGTTTGGCCTGGGCACACCTACCAACTCCACCTTTAAACCTCCAGAACAGCACACACTGCTTCTTTAAAGTGACATCTTTCAGATACTTGGTGGCTTTTCGGATATGAATACTCTTGATGGCCTGGGCAGTTTCATATGTGTTCTTAAAGTGAACATGAAGGTTAGAACCTCTTGATTTGTACGATTTTGTAGGGTTTTCTGGGTCAAGAGAGTAGCAAACCATTTTCACGGGTGAAGAGCACTTATATTTCTTGTTTTGTTTTGGGGCAGGGCACTTAACTATGTAGAACAGGCTGACCATGAACTCTGAAAGATCCACCTGCCTATGTGGGCCTATCCCTGGTGCTTGGATTAAAGTCATGCACCACCACAACCATCTTAATTGATTGGTTGGTTGAGACCAGAACTCACTATATAGCCATGAATTTTCTTTTTAAGTTTTAAAAATCTTTAATTGTGTGTTTATGTCATTGTGTGTTTATGTTTGTGCACATCAGTGTAGTATACTTGAAGGCCAGAAGAGAGCTTGGGATCCCCTGGGGCTGGAGTTACAGACAGTTGTGGGCCACCTGTGGAGGGTATCCCTTGCAAGAGCAATACTCATAACCACTGAGCCATCTCTTTAGCCCCATATATTTAATTTTTTCCTCCATGCACTATCATAAACATTCTTGTTTAGCTGTTTCTCTAATGGGGCTTGCACACTTCAAATATAATACGGACATGTATTGTTTGCATTTTGCTAATGTTGACCATAATGCTCTGTGATCTCCCACTACCACTAAGTGAGTAAACTCTACATTCTTTTTTGGATTGCTTTGTTGTCTGTTTTCTTTTTTTGTTCTTGTGTTTGCTGTCAACTGTTACAGTGTTTAAGAAGGCAATTGGGGGCCTGGACTTAAACTCCTGGTAGAGTGCTTACCTAACTTACATGTAGGAAGCCCTGAATTTCATCTCCAGCACAGCAAGATAAGGCAGCTGCTAATAAATGTATACTGATATTCTGTTAAAGATAGTGCTGGTAGTGATAGGAATGAAAAATATGTAGATTTCTAATGGGGCTTGCCTTAACAAATTTGTTTCTTGTGTGTAGTAAAAATAGATTTACGTTATTAAAGATTAATTTTATTGACAGCTTTCAACTTTCTGCCTTTCTGCTCCTCCCTGTATAAAACAGTTTGCTTTGATGTGGTTTCTCAGAAAAACTACTATTGCCACGCCCATGCCTCAGTACTCAGGAGGCAGTTGCAGGCACAGGTCCATCTCTGAGTTGGAGCCAAGCCTGGTCTAGTGAGTTCCAGGCCAGCCAGGACTTCATAGTGAGACCCTGTCTTGAAAGAGGGAAGGGAAGAGAAGAGAGAAAAGAAATGAATGTTATTTGCTTTTGAAAATTCAGTTTCTGTTCTGTCTTCAAAGATTGCTCATTCTGAATGGTGTTCAGTAATATCAGTTTTTAGTATCCCCTCTGTGACTGATGTAGATTGTTACTGAAAAATTATTCTAAACAAATAAAATGCAAATAATTACTATGTGTTTTTTTCCACAAAGGAGATGTACAGTTTAGATTTCTGAATACTTAGTGCTAGCTTGTCCTCAAGAGATAGTGTATCTATTTACATTCCCATCTGCAAAGTATAAGACTTCAATTTGCTACTTTCTTGTTAAACTGTAAACTACAAGGAAAGTTTGAGCATTTTATTTTGGCCCTCTTAGCAAGAGTAAGATTTAGATTGAATGTCTGACAAGTTTTGCTTATACATGGTAGTATTTTAGGACTATAAACTCCTGTTGAAAGGATTGGATTTGTCAGTTGTGTGAAAAATGAATGACATCTTTTTATCAACAAATGAAGTTAATTATCTTTTATTGAGTACATTTTGGTTTGTTCCAGTAGCCGGATCGAGCTGGGAGATGTGACACCACACAATATTAAACAATTGAAGAGATTGAACCAGGTCATCTTTCCAGTCAGCTATAATGACAAGTTCTACAAGGATGTTCTGGAAGTTGGCGAGCTAGCAAAACTTGGTATGTCCCCCTCCCCCTTAAAATTGATATTCTTAAACTATATCTGTTAATATTAGTACAACTAATGTAGTCTCTTTATCAGCAAGGAAATTGAAGTATACAAGTTTTGACAAAAATCTCAGATAAATAAAGATTAAATATTTAAAATTTAAATGCTTAATGTTCTTTTGAAACAAACAACCCAATACAGGGACTAGAGAGACAGCTCATTGGTTAAGAGCACTCACTGTTCTTTCAGAGTACTCTGGTTCAGTTTCCAGCACCCACATCAGGTGGCTTACAACCACCTGTAACTCCAGTACCAGGGAATCCTCTGGCCTCCATGGGCACCTGCCTACACATGGTACATATAAACTTAGGCAGGCACACACACATACACATAAAATGTGTTTATATTATTTAGTGTCTACCTATATGTTTATCATTTATTTAAATTACAGAGAAAACTTAGCAAGTGTTGGGGCTGTTAATACTCAGAGAACAACTTATAAGTATTTAATGCTTATAACAACTTAATATTTTAAAAAGGAGCTAATTAAATAAAATACCAATTTATTTCTTTGTATGTTTTGTGGCAGCCTATTTCAATGATATAGCCGTAGGTGCAGTATGCTGCAGGGTGGATCATTCACAGAATCAGAAGAGACTTTACATCATGACACTAGGATGTCTTGCACCTTACCGAAGACTCGGAATAGGTAAAATTATACAGGGTTTTGTTTTGTATCGTTTTAAGAACACTGTGAAAGAGGTTCTGAATTACATAAAATAAAATGAAAACTAGTGTTTATTAACAATTCGTTTGGAAGCACTATATAAATTTGTCCCATTTTGTTTTATCAGCCTGGAATTATATTAAAAAGGATGCTCTTAGCTAGGCTTACCAGTGCATGTCTTTAATCCCAACACTCAGGAGGCAGAAATAGGCAGATCTCTGTGAGTTTCAGGCCTGCTGGGGCTACACAGTGATACCTCTAAAAAGAGGCTGGGGTTGGTGGGGTGCTCTTCTAGTAGTTTTAAACATGCAGGACTCTTAGTAAGAACAAAATTTGGGGAAATAAGGATTTCTGGTGTACTCTAATTCTATATTAGGGCTAAATAGTTAAGATGGGAAAAAAAGTCAAGTTTAAAGGTTGATTTGTAAGGTTGCTTACTTGTTTATCTTATTAATAGGAACTAAAATGTTAAATCATGTCCTAAACATCTGTGAGAAAGATGGCACTTTTGACAACATCTATCTGTAAGTACTTATTACTTAGTGTCTAATAAACACCATGGAAGTATGATTGTCTTTGATATCTGTGAGCAATATAAGTCTGTATAAAAGGCATACTATTTACCTGTGGCCATGCCCTCATGTACTTTAAATCCAATTTAGATTAATTATAATGGCTAGCACATTGTAAATGCTGCCTACGTTTTTGTGGTTGTTTTGTGTTGTTTAGGGAATGATGGGCAAAAAATAGTATACTTGTTCAATACAGGACAATTCCCCCGCCTTCTCCCTTAGAGCTGAGGACTGAACCCAGGGCCTTACGCTAGGGAAGCGCTCTGCCACTGAGCTTTAATCCCCAACCCCTACAGGACAATTTTTAATGAATATTTTTAACTCAGGGTTGGTTGAATTGTAGAGAAACCATGACTATGTAGGATGAACTGTAGTTATAATTTATTTGTTTTAATGATACATAAGGAACCTGAGATAAAACCAAGATTATAATCCAGGTGCCCAGGTGCTGAGATTTTTTTTTTTTTAATCTTTTTGAGACGGCTGGGCATGGTGGCATATGCCTTTAATCTCAGCACTTAGGAGGCAGAGGCAGGCGGATCTTTGTGAGTTCAAGGTTAGCCTGGTCTACATAGTGAGTTCCAGGATAGCTGGGGCTACAAGGAGACCCTCTCAAAAAGACAAAAAAAAAATCTTTCGGAGACAAGGTCTCCCTGTAACTACAGTAGTTGGCCTGAAACTCGTTATGGAGTCAGGCTGGCCTCTATCCCACAAAGATCCACCCACTTCTGCCTCCCTAGTACAGGGATTATAGGCCTGTATCACCATGCCCGGCCAGAGTTCAGTATATAAGACCATTAATGCCATTATTTTCTCCTGCCATGCTGTTTGTACTCTTTTGTTCAAGTTTGTCAGTGACATGCTCATTTCTTAGTAGGGTTTTAATCAAAGAAGTAACCTAGTTAAGGTTATACTTGGGTCTCAGAAGGTTGAAGTTTAAGAGCTAAACAAAAATCAGAACAAATTGCTTATTTATTCATATTGGTGATGGAAGAGATTAAATTACTCAGTGTTGTTTTGAAGAGTATTGAAAGAAGCTCAATTCTCTTAATTTTAATTTTTGTAATGTGTGTGAGTGTTTTGTGTGTAAGTGTACTATATGCATGCAATGACTTGGTGGTCAGAAGAGGTACCCTGGAACTGGGTTTTACTGACTCTTAGCCACTATGTGGGTGCTAGGAACTGAACCAGTGCTCTTAACTGCTGAGCCATCTCTCCAGCCCCAAATCTCTTACCCATTTTTAATTATAGAAATCTTTGCTCCTTTTAGAAATTTTGATGTGATAGAGTGCTTTACTTTGTTTACTATAAGAATAAGCACTATTACTGAGCTTCCTAATCTCAGATATCTTGCAGGTGGAAGATTTAGATTAAATATGCAAAATAGTCAGGTTTTCTGATATGAATTAACTAATCTTTGTTAAATATTAGTCATTGTAAAGAAAATGTATTTTAAAAAATGTAACATTTCGGCTCTAACCAATTTGAAGCTATCTGTGGATAAGACTTAAAAGCTGATGAAACCTTTCTTTTATACCCTGTGTCTCAGGCATGTCCAGATCAGCAATGAGTCAGCAATTGATTTCTACAGGAAGTTTGGCTTTGAGATTATTGAGACAAAGAAGAACTACTATAAGAGGATAGAGCCTGCAGATGCTCATGTGCTCCAGAAAAACCTCGAAGTCCCTTCTGGTCAGAGTGCAGATACACAAAAGACAGACAACTGAACAATTACAAATGAACTTTCTTGCACTTGCTTGTCACCAAATAAAAGAGAGACCCATTGATTTTCCCTCCCCCTTTCAGCTTCCCTTCTTCCTTGTTCTTGTTTTCCTCCTTTATTTCCTCTTAAAGTTTTAATACTTCCAAGGACTCTTAAAGATGATCATGTTTGGATTGTTTTAGTTCTCTTATTTTTCTGAGGTGGTTGGATTGAAGGAAGGAGAAAGTGGATCTATATAGTTTCACAGTTAAGATGTCTGGTCCCAAAAGTTTGGGTGTCAGATGATTTCAAATTTTCTAGATGATTCTTTTTTTAAATGTCCTGCTTTCACATTGAAGGGCAGAGCCTACAACATTGTTTATTTCCAGAGACAGAAAGCAGAAGCAGCAATATCCTATTTTCTAACTCATAGACAAGTTTAGTGTATTTGAGGTACTTTGCGTTTTTAAAGACTATCTGTGGGATGCAGATCCCTGGACATTGCCTTCACCCTACCTTTAGTCCTTCTGAGCACTCTCAGGAGCTGGACCATTGCTATCCTTCTAAGAACTACTAAGCTTATTTAGGTTTTAAAAGCAGTTTTTCCCTTCTCTTTGCTGATGGATGGGGCAATTTGGGTTGGTAGTGTTATACTTTGGTCAGAGTATTTCAGTTAAACTGCTTTTTTGCTAATGAGTGGGTTGGTTGTTAGCAGGTTTATTTTTCCTGCTGTTAATCTTATTACTAGAGGCATTAATTTGTAGAGTATGGGCTGGTGAGCTTACCTTTTTTAATATCCCAGCTAGAGATAATGACCTTAAACTGACCTAAAGAAGTTTGTTGTAATTTTTTTCTCCTTTCAGTAAGCCCAATTACAGTGTAACCTTTAAAATGGTGTTATGTCCTTCTAGGTCAATACCCCTAAATAAACCTGAAGCAAGTGTTTTCTCTTAGATATATAAAAAAGAATACATGAAAAGCGTAAATGAACTTGTGACACATTATGTGTATTTAATATCAACTAATACAGGTTGTTAAAAGTGTGGCCACTGAGCATTTGATAATATATGAAAGAATTTCTAGACAGTATTTTTGAAAATAACATAGCTATGCTATTGCTTATCTGTTGGAGAACATCCCAGATTTGCTTACACTCTGTGCCTACAATATTGAGTTTAAAGATTTGGAATAAGAGGATTCATAAACAAATTCCTTCTATTCTTGGAAAGATAGACGTATAAAGTGTTAATACAAATATCACTGTGACCTCCTACTGACAGGTCTGGTTTATGCCAGGTCATCTCCAGGCACGTGGGGAGTGGCTCTGACAGGTTGAGAACTGTAATATGAGAGACATGTGAGATACTGGTGTTTTCCTCCCATTGTCGCATCTCTGATACTTGGAATTTTTAGATTGTCAGTAGTCATTAATGGCTCAAGAAATTTTTCATTAGACTTTAAAACAGTACACAGGGTGTGTGCTTCATTCCATTTGACTTTAAAAGGAAATTTGATTTATCTTATTTAAAAGTT